TTATATACATGTTTAAGCCAGAACAACATGGATGCATAAACACCTCATTTTATTTCAGTGTTAAATTCTGTTTAAAGTAAGAGATTATAATTAAAAATGTCTCTGGACCTTTACTGGTTGATGATTTGTAATTGGTCCCACTGATGTACACAAATGATCAAATTTATCCTGGTGATTGTGTTTATTTTGCTTCTCTGTGAGAAATAACTACCAGCCTGAATCAGAGATGAAGGCATACCGCTGACATGATGATCTTCTCCTCTTCCTCCATTCTCCACCTGAGAGCAGGATGGATACTGCACACTGGCAGGCTGGTTCCTCATCTTCTTCTCACGCATCTTAGCTTTAGCTGAAGACATTTTCTAAAGGGGAAAAAGAAGCATAGCTCAAACCCCACCAACAGGACTCCCTGTTTAGCCAGTTAGCTCCATTTACCTCGGAGAAAGTTAGCATTTCTGTTCAGAACAGAGTTTTAAATAATTCTCCCCAAAATTAAACAACCACTATTACCTTTCAGGCTGTTAAGGTCTTGCCACACAATTATTTTGGCTGCTCTCCTCTTGCTGTTAGCTACCATGTGAGCAGTCCTCATGCTAGCTGTTTTTCCACCTTCACTTCCGGGTTTTTTAATGACTCATGGGAAATGTAGTGAATGGGACAAACAATTAAAATCTTCGTACCCAGACCATCTATAATATGTACAAACAGTTAAAATGTGTTTGAATTATTATTAAATTATTATTATTATTTAAATAATTATTCATGAGTGTAAACCCACCTATATAAGCTAAAACCTATATGGGTTTGTACGTTTATGGTGCGCATATAGAAGGTGGTTTACGGTGAAGAAGGTGAGACGCTCTCGCGACAACTAGGCGCCTCTCGGTTCTTTTCTGACTGTTTACTCACTGTTTCACTCTTTTTGGCAGTGTGAATACTGTGAGGGGAAATGGCAGCACTGATCAGGAGGATCATCAGCACGGCTAAAGCTCCGGCTGCGATTGGCCCATACAGGTGAGGAGTCTGACAACCCGGTTTAAAGCTGCTGTACAACAGGCCACATGGCAGGAGCCACGCATATGGTAGTACTGTGAGACTGTCTGGATATGTAAATAAATATATGTAAATAAATTCAGGATTAGTGCTTATTCTTTGATAACTCATAGATACATGTGACATCAGATCTTCATCCGTGAATACAACTTCAAAAGTGCTGATTGCTAAATAAGAATGTTTCAGCTTTGCAGAAATACAACAACAATTTACAAATGCAAAACATAAATAAAAAAATAAAAATAAAAAAAACAGGAACCAGAGATGTAAAAAAAAAAAATCAAATCACAAGATCTAAATTTGCAAATAGCTACCAATCACAAATGAATAATTCCACAAAACACATTTACAAGGATAACTCACAAATTAGCTAGGTAAACTAGCTATTTCTTTTTTTATTTTCTTTTTAGAGATACATTAGATTGCAATAACATGCTATATAAGTGTAATATTCCATACTAACAGGGCAACGTTGCACAGCCTTTTTGTGTACTTTTTTAGATTTTGCTCTTTAGACCCAAAGGACTGTTGGAAGGATTAACCATTAACTAATTCTGTTCCCAGGATGGTGTTTTAAATACTTTGTTAGGATATGTAACGTTTCCTTAAAACTTTTATGGCAATGCAGTGTGGTTTGCAATTTTAGTCTGGATAAAAATGCAGAGAATGGAGAGGTACTCAAAAAGAAAAAAAAAACATTTAAAATTAAACATCTAAATCATGGACTTACAAATCCAATTTGAAAAGTCTCTTGTCATTGCACAGTTTGAATAAAATTATCAATGAAGATTTTTTTTTCCAATATTAAATACTGCAATTTAAAAAATATATATAATTTTTCTGGTCATTTTCTAAATGTAGATTTAAAAAGCACAATCCATAAATCTGATTAGAATACCTCATCACATAATTAAAGAGGTAAATCCATTAATATTTTCTTTGTCACCTTGCATTTTCAAATGTCTATTACAGTTGCAAGTTCATTTTACGTTATCCTCTACATTTAATACTTTACTGACCCAAAAACAGCTTAATAACCATTTATTTACAGTTTATTAACAGTTTAGTTACAGCTTATTAATAGTTTAATAATAACTTATTACCAGTTTAGTAATAACCTTTTTACAGCATAATAACGTTTGCGAACAGTTTATTAACAGCTTATTAATAGATTGATAACAGTTATAAACAGTTTACTAAAAGCTTATTAATAGTTTATAAACAGATTATTAATAAGGATAACTAAAAAGGTTAAAGAAAAAGGAAATGTGTTTAGATAATTCCCAGGGATAGTTTAATGAATGCAGAGGGGAAAAAATGCAACCTCATAAAAGATATGGAAATGAAAAGAGGAAAAGAAAACCGCAATTTTTAATTCTATGATTTAACCGTTTAATTTGAAGTGTTTAATTTTCGTTTTGCGTGACTCTCCCATGTCCTCTAAAGGAGTATCATCCATTTTCTATTCCACTGGAATTTCTTACTTTGTGTTGATCTGTTACATCATTTACAATTATAAAACTGTTAGTTTGTGCTTTTAGTGTGTGACAGGGTGTCAATACTTACAATAAAGCAAAAAGATCCATTTCCCTGCTAAGCTGCTTATTCACTGTTGAAAAGCTCTTCTTTTTTAAGTCTAAGTTAAAGAAGCATTGCAGAAATCTAAGATGTTGGAAAACATTGATCAACTGCATGAAGAAAAACTATTATTTAAAGCTGAAAGTGTCAAACATTATGGGGATCTTCTTGGTACAGCTGGTCAGCGCTCCCCAATGTTTTTAAAACATTGCAGATAAATTCTCTTATTTGTTGTTTGTGTTCAAGCCAAGCGGTGGTGGTGGATCGGACTGTGTACATCTCAGGGCAGCTGGGGATGGATCCTGCCAGTGGACAGCTGGTGGAAGGTGGCGTTCAGGCACAGACCAGACAGGTGCTGCTCCCCAAATGTCTGCAGCTCCGCATTCATTCAGTTCAATGAATCACAACGCCAAACCCTAACAGTTTACTAATGTCTTTTTAACATTACTATAAGTCACTCAATCGTTCTGCCTCTCCTGTTAAAGACATGTTAAGGTTCAGTAACTGAAGAGCCGGGTAAACTTTGTGCTATTATCGTTTTTTTCAGGCTCTTGTCAATATGGGTGAAATTCTTAAAGCTGCTGGCTGCAGCTATAAGAACGGTGAGAGAAACCTTTGTTCAATAAGGTGCATTTGGGTTTTTTTCCTGTTCTGAAGCTGTTTTATGTATTTTGCTTCTATTATTTCATCTTTTCCTGCAGTTGTGAAAACCACAGTGCTGTTAGCCGACATGAACGATTTTGTAAATGTCAATGACGTCTACAAGCAGTGTAAGTATGAAACCCTAGAAATCATTAGAGTTTAGTATCTCATTGAAAGATTAGACTCTTTAAACTCAGCAGCCATTATTTTTATCATGTAAGGAAATGACCACTAGGGGTCAGTATAACCCTAAAAACCTGTTTGTTTTTTAACACGACATCCTCCCTTTGCCACCTTGGTTTTACTCCTTTGATTAAATAAAATGCTTAAAAGAGAATAAAAGAGAATGAAGAGAATGGCTAAATTTTCCACTGACTATTCTAAATAGTAAAATATTTCTTTGGAAAACCTGAAAACACTGAAAAACCGAGCAGCTTTGGTAGGAGATGAGCACACAGGCTGTTGAGGTTTCCCCACTTAGCTGAGTGAAATATGAGCTGCTGCTGTCAGTGGATTAAGCTTCATCTAGATACCAGATAATGTGTTGCCTTTCACTGCCTAAAGATGATAATAAAGCCTCCCCTATAGATTTCACTGTCATTTAAGAAAATAACAGGGTTTGGCTGCTAAAGAAAACACTGCAGAAGTATTTATACATCTTAAACTTTCACATTAAAATCACAAACTGCACCGTCTTTCATTGGGATTGGGTGCTACTTTAATTTAGACTATAGCATGATTATGAATGAAGAGGAAAGGAATGCATATTTTATTTACAGATAAAACTGAATAGTATGGCGTGCATTTATATTCTATTCAAGCCTCATGATCCATGTGTTACTCCCAGGGATTTGAAGTATTTTGGCCCCAGGCTTTCCGGCTCGTAGCGATCGCCCGTGGTTAAAAAAAAATCACTAATATAAATTGCTGGTAAATACATTTAAAGAAGACAATCGAAATCCCTTTTGAATTTGTCAGCCAATGGTAGCAAAGGAGCACTGTGGAACTAACACTATTAGCCAATCAGAATTAAAAGGGGGCGGGTCTTAGAAAAGCGTCTACCTCCTCCTCTCGTTTATTGATCAAGTCGGCCGGATAGATTGTGGTTCAGTGCTGAAGTTCTACACAGAAAGTCACCTTGAGCCGTTAATGGCTACATTCAACGGAGAGACGTGTAAAAAGTCAAAAAATAAATAAATTAAACTTTGTGTTTGGAGAGAAGGAGAGAAGGATAGAGAGAACAGAATTGCATGGATTGGGCCTAATGCAGTTCATGAACTGAGAAGATGTCACGACCATAGATAAAGGTCTCAAAAATAAATGGTGCTGGGCATGGCTGGAGGAGACAGGGCAAGATGGAAGTTAGGTGAACCAGGCGCTTGCTTCTGCACACTGTGCTCCAGGAACGCTTAGCAGCAAAACTGGATATCAAAAGAAATGTGGTTCATGCAACTGGTAGATATAGATGCACTTTAGCCATCTTCTGGCCGTATGAGTTTCTTGCCTGTATCGAAAAAGTTCAGGCTTAGGATTTTATTTTATTTTTTATTTTTTTTGCTTTAATCCCTGTACTCCACAGATCTGTCCTAAATAGTGTGTCAAAGTACACAGTATAAAGAAAAAGAAGAACATAGAAAGTTTTATTTGTAGTTTTCTACAAACCTCTGAGGGGACACAGCGAAGGTGTTAAAGGAGGCACTCAGCCAAAATTAAAGACAATAAATTAAGTTTTTTTATTTACATACATGGAAAATAAGCAATGCAGAGCACCCATGTTTCTTCAGGGGTCAAAATGACCCTTTTTTTCCAAACACATATCTGCATGAATGTTATCGATTTTCTAGAGAAGGGTCTAGTTGCTTTACTGCCTTAATTAGGCCTCGGTTCACCCACAGAATAGCTCCAATCAGCCCTAACTGCTCTCCTGATGCTCAAAGTTGAAAATCCAGACTCACACATGTTTTAAAGAGCAGAAGGATTTTCAGTCCTTTTTCACATATTTAGATGCCCAAAGAGCCTCAACATGTATTTCCCTGGGCTTGTCATGTCAAAATATTATTATTATTATTGCCTCTATTCCACAATATCAGTAAAATATCAATATTTTAAAATACTAATTAAATAAATAACTGTTTTTTTTTCTCTCCAATTTTTCTTTTCGTTCTCTAAAAGCTCCCCTAGTGGCCCTCACTTTGAAACCCACCAGTGGGATTACAGCAATTTAACTTGTTACAATCAGTTAACGTTTTTAGGGAAATTGACAATTTTAGTTGTAAAAAATGTAGAAAACTTGTTTTATTCTACCTACGTCACATATAACTGGTGCTTTATCACATAAAATCTAGGGCTGAGACTAACACTTGTTTTGTTAAATAATTTGGCGACTAATTTTTTTTATTAATCGATTAGTAATTGGTTTGCAAAAGGAACCTTAAAAAAGATTCTATACACAATGTAAACCAGGTGAAGCTAAAACTAAGCTGCTCAACGAGTTCTGGACGGAAAACATTCACTGAAAGAGGTTTTGCATCTTAAATGTAAAATGTTTTATGTTTTACTATTTTGGGTTACTGCTCTGTGTGCGTTACTTATTCAGCTAAAGGCATGCGTTAGTCTTTATTCTCCTTTAAATGATTAATCAATTAGTAAATTATTTAATGCTTATTTAAATAATCAATTTAAATATAAGATATTGTTTCCTCCCTAATAGAATCCTAAATCAGATACACTCTTTGTGATTGAATTGTTTACCCAATGTGAACACGTTCATGTGGTATTTATGTTTCTGCAATTTCACAGTAAAAGTTCAACTCATTAAATTTAAAAATATCCTTTCATATTTAATAAGCCTGAAACAGACAGACTGTGAATGATGCGCCATGATCTTAACTGGCAATCATTGTAACCTTAAAACTAACAATACAAAGTGGATTTAAGCAGAAAATGTTTGGATCCAAGCTTCAAATAAGCAGTTGTGGATTTATGGCAAATAGAAGCTTATCAGGGCGAACGGAGGTCACTTTGGCTTCTTTACCTGAAACAGAAAAACCGTTTTTTAAAGTTTTAATATTAGTCCATAACAGAAACTGATTTCTTTAAAAATGAAAGCCATGCAGAATCAAACCTCGGATGATATGGGTGCAGCATTGTTGCTTTTTGTTGTTGTTTTTTTACTCTTTTTACCAAGCTTTCATCATTAACTCATTAACCTTGGTGTAAGTAGTATACCTCCATTAAAGTAAGGTATTCGCTGCATATGTTCTAACCGAGCCTCCTTCTGCAGTTTTCAGTGCCAACTTCCCAGCCCGAGCTGCCTATCAGGTAGCGGCTCTTCCCAGAGTGAGTATTTCTTCAAACGTTGCTGCTGATTTGTGCTGATTCCAAGCTTAAGGCTCTCTGAAAACCAACTCTGCCTTGTGCCTCCAGGGTGGACTGGTGGAGATTGAAGCAGTTGCAGTTTTGGGCCCTCTGAGCGATGCTTCTTAACAACAAGGCAGCAAAAGAGCATCCTCAACATTTATTGATTCCCCCTGTATAGATTGGTAGAAATCAGTGAAATAAATGAATCTTTTTATTTAGTAGCTTAGTTTTCCAATGAGAAAATTAGCTAGCCTGATGTTTGGATATTTTGTAGTTCACTAACCATCCTTCTCAGCATGCCTGGTTGCAAGATTAACTGTTATTATAACAACTGTTTGGTATATTTCTTGATTTTATTTTACTTGTTCCAATATTGTATTAAGCAAAGAACATGTTTTGTAAATGAAAATAGAAATAAAAAATACAATCTTCCAATGAAACTTTGGAAAACGTTTTATTTAAATAAGAAAGAAAAGAAAAGATTTTTAGAGTAATTTTGCTGTCTTCACATATTTTTTATTTTTCAAATTTATTTTTAAATGAAATTTGTTTAAGCAACTTTTTTACAGATGTTATTTAGTATTTTTTCTTTTCTGATTTTTTTTTTTATACGTTTTATTCTTTTCAAACTGCGCTCTCTGAACCCACATCCTCTTCACTTCTAAGGGGCGGGCTTTCCTCTGAAATGAAGAGCAAAGACATGTTTCTATTGGTCTGCTGGACAATAGCAACAACATTTTTATTGGTTAAGAGCATTTGTATTGGACCTGGAGTGATGGAAATGTGATCTATAAAACACAGTTTGAAAAGTATGCAGTTCTTTTATACTGTTTTGATAGAGGGCTTCCCAAAGTGTGGGTCAGGACCCCTGGGGAGGTCGCAAAACACTAATTAGGGGATTCCAAGAAGGGAATCGATGAGATGAGGTATATGGAGGAGTCAAAATGTATCATGATATATGTTCATATCATACATTAGAGGGTAAATTTGATCTATTTTACTTTTAAGAATTCTGTAAAAATACCAATAAGTTATAAATACACAATTTATAATTCAATATCATGTTAAATTATTATAAATCATGAATGAAATGTCATTTTAACCAATAAATGGATTTAATAATGAATATAGTATGATAAATATATTACTTAATTCTTATTGGTACATAAGTATATTTATATATTTTATATAAATATACAGTGAAAGGAATATATATATATATATTTTTTTTTAAGTTATTTTTTTATTAGTAGTAGTAATTTATGTTATTATTGTTGGGGTTTGGTAAATCCTGGCCTAATGCATAAAATGAAAATATTTGGTTGTAACATCACAGAATTTAAAAATGACTAAAGGGTATGAATACTTGTTCAAAGAGCTGCAACATCACTGTTCCTTCACAGATGACTCATGGTTTTATTTAAATATGCATGCACATGTACGGCTGCAGTACTTGCTTTGAAAAAAATAGATTTTGAGCAATTTTGCTGTCTTCTCAGATTTTTTTTATTTTTGCAAATTTTGTCATTTCAAATAAATTTTATTCAAACAACTTTTCTTACAGATTTTATTTAGAATTTTGTATTTCAAATTTTTTTTTTTTTTTTTATAAATTTTGTTCTTTTCAGACTGCGCTCTCTGAACACACATCCTCTTCACTTCTAGTGGCGGGCTTTCCTCTGGAATGAAGAGCAAAGAAACGCTCCTATTGGTCTGTGGACGATGGCAACAACATTTTTATTGGTTAAGAGCATTTGCATTGGAGTGATGGAATGTGATCTATAAAACGCAGTTTCAAAAGTCTGCAATTCTTTAGACTCATTCTGAGGAACTAAAATGTGAAAACATGAAAATGAAAAAAGAAAAATTGAAAAAAAAAAAAGAATCTGTAAAATAATTCAAAAATGTGAAACCTAAATCTGAAAAACAAAGTAAAATGAAATAAAAACATCTTAGAAAACAGCAGAGTTTCTCTCAACAGTTGTTTAAATAAAATGTATTACAATGTTTCTTTTCTGAAATGCCTTTTTTATTTCAATAACATTTTAATCTGTAAAACATGTTCTCTACTTGTCACCATAATGGAACAAAATTCCTTCCATATACTCTTTTAAATGTGTGTCTTTGCTTTAATAATTGGTGTGACGATGTTCTAGTGATATTTTAGTGTTTTTTACAGCGTAGCTGTTCCAATGAATGTTGAGGGGGCTGGACCTCAGCCTAATAAATGGCCAATAAGAGATTTATTACTGTTTTTATGATGTCGGTCAACAATCGGCTGAGCTTGAAGCACTTTCCCCTCATTAACATTGATGAGACGTGTTTAGGGACGACAATGCATCTTCGATTCCTGCAGCTCGTCTTTCAACTAACAATAGTTGTTAAGCATCTAACGTTGTTAGTGTGGCTTAAATTTCACCATCAGCTGTTGTCACCAGTTATTCCCAAAGGCATTATGGGTATCCTCGTTCAGTAGTGATGATGTAACTCAGCAATAAACGGTTTCCACTTTTCAACGTCAGAATTCTTTTTTCCTGGATATTTTATAGTTAGATTTATTTTTCATTGTTGTAGCATAAGTGCTGGTTTTATTCTTTGTCAGGGGAATCTGTTTATATTATGACCCATTATCATTAGCTGAACAGACTGCCTTACACACTGCATGGGTTTAGGACTTGCGTCTGGAACTTTTTGAAATCCAGAGACATTTTTCTCATCTGACTCAATAAAAATCTTTTGGAGCCGCAATTATGACAGGAACTTTACATTTAACACATTGCATTGTTTTTGTCAAATATCTGCTGCAGGAAATATGTTGCAGGTTTCTTGTTGCCATGGATATTGTTTGTGGAAAATTATATAAAGGCATCATTTCCAACCTAAAGAAAAGAAAGATAGATCTGAAACCAAGAACACTGGTTCTTTTAATGTCTTCCTGTGTCTTTCTTAAGCTTTTAAGACTGGAATTTGTTATTAAAGCAAGTTTATTTGTACATTAAGAAATTATATAGAAGTCAACTTTTCTTGAAATAGGATTTTCCTTGTTTTGGGGCAGGTAAGTAAAACAGCTTGATTTTAAGTAAAATTATAATAACATCTTCATCATCTTATTTTAAGTGTATATCATCTAATTGTCTTATTGTAGTGGATAAAAACTCTTCAATGCACTGACAGACCATCATGTTTGCCTGCTCAAATTAAGGGCAAATGAACTTATTTAACCTATTGAACTTGTTTGTTTTTTACTTATATTTAATCAGTTTTGCATTATATAGCACATTTCAGTGGAGAGACAATTCAAACTGCGAAAAAAAATTGGGATAAAAAAATAAAAGTAATTAGATTGAGGTGGCATAGAGGCAGAGAAAATTATTAAAGATAATGATATTAATGAATAAAATGTGATTATAATAAAAATAAGATGAAACGATTAAAAAAAAAAAAGTCGGACTTAAAACTGAACAAACTACACTATATTCAAAGCAATTATTTGGTTCTTTATCATTCGTAGCCCCTATTAAAAAGGGAGTTCAGAGACCACTTGTGGCCCCAGGGCTGCAGGTTACAGACCCCTGGTCTAAGATATCGTCATCATTTGCAAATAAAGATTTTAGTCAAATATTAAAGGGATCTGTATGTTTTTGATTTTTTTTCTTTCATAAAGAAAGATTTTTGATGTTTTTTTTATTTTTAATGTTTTTTTTTTTTGTTTTTTTTTGTCATTGTTGTTCAGTTTTAGTTAAGGGGAATAAAAACTCAGCAAGAATAGAGAAATTAGTTCATTTACTCTCACTAACTTTATTCTGATGGGGACAAAAGAACTAAGAGATCCCAGCAAATCTTCAAAGATATCTAACTCATATTTTTTGGGGCAATGTGCAAGAAAAAGTTTCATCTTATTTTTTGATGTTTTTTTGATGTTTTTTTTTGTTGTTGTTTTTTGTCATTGTTGTTCAGTTTTAGTTAAGGGGAATAAAAACTCAGCAAGAATAGAGAAATTAGTTAATTTACTCTCACTAATTTTATTCTGATGGGGACAAAATAACTAAGAGATCCCAGCAAATCTTCATAGATATCTTACTCATATTTTTGGGGGCAATGTGCAAGAAAAAGGTTGTGCTCAGAATATGCATCAAGCTGCAAGAATATATGAATCTGGAGAATAAATTAACCTGTTTCTGCAAAGTGTGCATGTTGGTTTAATCTGAACCAGGATAAGTTATTCCTTCTTCTTCTTCAGCTCCGCCAAAGTTAACCATGGGTATCCCTTTCTTCTCCCTTAAAAATCATGGCCTCACTTATACTGTTCTAATAGAGGGCTTCCCAAAGTGTGGGTCAGGATCCCTGGAGAGGTCGCAAAACATTAATAAGGGAATTCCAACAAGATTTTGGCAACCATTGCAATAGTGAAGTATATAAGGAGGGGTCAAAATGTTTCATGATATATGTTCATATTGTACTTAACTATTAGTAACTATTTTAATAAAAAAAAAAATATTTAAATATACCATTAACTTATAAATACACAATTCTTAATTCTATATCATGTTAAATGATTGGAAATTATGAATTAAATGCAATTTTAACTATTAAAAGGATTTAAAAATGAATATAGTATGATGAATTTATTAATTCATTCTTATTTGTATATACCGGTATCTATATATTTGTATATGAATATACAGTGAAATATAATATGCATTTTTTATTATTAATAGTGGTTGGCTGCAGTATCTGCTTTGAAAAACACAATAAAAACACTTTTTAGTTAGAGACAGTTTATTCTGTACACTAACAAGTTAGCAGAATCCTAGACAAATGAAGCGTTTGATTCAAGAGAAAGGAAAACAATAAGAAAACAAACATAAATTCATCCCAGTAGAGTCATTTCCTGTGCTTTACATTTTCAAAATAAAAGCCAAATAGGTTGCTGAGGTGAAACCTGAAACCACAGGTCTTCAGTGTCCCACAGTGTTTGCTGCAAAGGTGAAGAGGATTCATTCAAATCCAACCTCTGTAGAGGAACTAGATGTCCTTATAAAACGTTGCAACATTACAGCAGGGGTCCTCAACCTGTAGATGAAAAATGTTCTCCGCTGTTGTCATGATCATCCATTTTTTATTTCTTTGACCTTAAATAACCCATGTGCTCCAAAAGTGTATAAATTAAAATATAACATAAGTCAATTTTTTTTTAACTAAATATATATTTTTCAGTGTTGAGCGGATAGATAATTTGCCAGGGAAATAAGGAGATCAAGTTTAATATGTAAAAAAAAAAAAAAGAAATTATCTAATTTCAAGTACAGAATTTCTAAATTAATTATTTTGAGAGCAAAAATCCTCATTCTATTATCAGATCTTCCTATTTACCTGCCAATTAAGTTCAGTGCACTGATTTTAGTAGGTTTTTACTTACTTTTAGATATTTTTTTGCACAAGTAGCTGAAATGTTAAACATAACATACCATTACTATCAATACACCTTTGCAATGTCCATTATCTGACACGCTTGTCCCAATTGGGGTCGCGAGGGGTGCTGGTGCCTATCTCCAGCTGTCAATGGGCAAGAGGCGGGATACACCCTGTACAGGTCGCCAGTCCATCGCAGGGCAACACAGAGACAAACAGGACATACAACCATTCACACACTCACACATAGGAGAATCTAGAGAAGCCAATTAACCAAACATTCATGTTTTTGGACTGTGGGAGGAAGCCAGAGTACCTGGAGAGAACCCACACATGCTCAGGGAGAACATACAAATTCCATGCAGAAAGACCCTGGGCCAGGAATCGAACCCAGAACCTGAGCAGCCCACCTTTGCAATATGTAAAGATATTTTTGATGGATTTGTTTTTTTTGTTTTTTCCAATAGAATATTAAATATTAGCCTACAAATGCTAAATCTCTTCACATTTGTTATGTCAAAGTACAGTTAAGCTGGTTGTGAGCAGGAATGGGTCGATTCACTGAGCGACAGTTTATATATGTTTTTAAACAAACATTTTCCAAACTGCCAACATTATATTTCACAATGTTTCATACATTTTATTGTTGCAGGAGAGTGACATAAATTTCCTCTAATGGGAAAAAAGGGAAGAAAGTCACATTAGCCTTCCTTAACCCTGCTGCTCCCACACTTTATTACAATAAACACACATTTGGCTGTTTAAAGTACTACTGATCCCCAAATAACAGCAGGTATGAAAACCTAAAGACTACTACCTCTCATAAAGAAGATGTTTTAGGAGCATAGAGTGCAGCTAATTATTGCAGCTCTCATAACCAGCCAAATGCAGGCTCTACACTGTAAACTTAATTCTAACTAAATCAAATTGGCTTGAAATAAATATAATTTTTCTTGATTGGAGCAGGTAAGTGAAACACTTTGCCCGTGGAATAAAAGGATTTACGTTTAAAGTAAGAAAAAGCAACTCTTTTATCTTATCTCAAGTCCATCATTTTTTGCATATTTTAGATCAGTTTTTGAAGCATAACAATTTAAAACTAAAAGTTTTTATCCTTCATTTTAGCAAATAAAAAAAAACGATCTGTTGATGTAATTAGTAGTTTTTTGTCCTTCAAGTAAGATCATTGGATATCGTGCACCTGAAATAAGATATTGAAGTTATTTTTGTCTTATTTAAATATCAATTATCTTATTCCATTGGCAAATTGATCTACCTGTTCAAATCAAAAGAAAAAAATCTTTTAATTTAAGAAAAATAGCCATAAATGGATGTCAATTTTTTACCATGTTATATTTGCGTTAAACTAAAAAGAACAACATTTTGAACTTAGCATGAAAAATGTTAAAATCATTTGCTGCAGAAGGAATAACTGATCCTTTTTGTGTAAAATCTGATTACACAAAGGATACACCTGATCCTTATCACTGATAATGGTGAGACAACGATAACCCGTCCCTCCCGTTAGGTTTCCTCATTACGCATTATATTATTCACAGTCAAATTTGGCTTGTTTTCTCCAGAAAAAAAGAAGGATTTACTGGATTCACCCTTCATAGGTTTTAAATACCCCCAGCCCAGAGTAATTACCCTTGTTAAACAACAGTTCACAGTATTGCAGCCTCATATCGCCATCAAAGTGTCCTTGTTGCATTTTTGGTGTATAAGCCAACATGTGTGGCTTTAGGCACTTGTGCTTTCCAGTAGAAAAACTATTTTTCTCTGCAGCAAAGGTTTACATGTATGTAAAAAATGATAAGAAACCCTGATCCATTCTGAATGAAAACTTATTAAGGCTATTATTTTAATGTTGATGAGATAAAAATGGGAGTTAGGTTTTCACAGCTTCTTCACAGCTCCCCTTGATGTTTTTTTTTTTCTTTTTGGTGAATCTGTTCTGTGAAAGACAAAAAACTGAAACAGTAATGGAACAATTTTTAGTTTTTGCATCTCTACACTTCTTATTTACACGTACAATATACAATTTCTTACTTTGCAAATAACATTTCAGTGCCAAAATAAAGCCTTTAAATCTATAAATGGGTATCAGGTGTTTGTTCTAAGTAGGAAACTCTGCTCTTACCATTTTAGTCCTGCTTTTTGGTTATTTCAGCCTCTGTTTCCTTAGAGGCCTCAGTTATAGACGTCTCTGCAGACAGACAAACACAGGAATGTCATGAAACTGTAAAAACGACCTAGAAATTAGCAAAAATGTCTTAAATTAAGTGTATTTACCATTCATTTGAGTAGGTAAATAAGATGATTTGCCAAGTGAATTAGTATTTTGAGATAAGTAGATAATATGCACTTGAAATAAGACAAGGCAATTATTTATTCTTATTTTAAATGTAAATGGTCTTGTTCCATTAGCAAAGTATCTAACTTACCGCCTCAATTCATGAAAAAATGCACTTAATGCAAGAAAAAAATACTTATTTAGATTTAAATTTTTGCAGTGTATAATTCAAACTGCTTTGAGTTTCTTTGACTTGACTTTACTATCATAATAAGAGGTGTCGGCCCCGCGCCTGTGGAAAACTAGGCAGCTGACGGTCCCCCATATCAACATCTCAGCTTCATTCCAACACATATATAAACTACCATCATACCCCTTAAAAAAAGTCTTGTAAAATTTATGTAATAAACCCTTTTTCCCTCTTAAGCCCAGTATTAACGCTGTAATAAGGAGTGTTTCTCTCCAAAAAGCACAGAAAAACTATAGTTTTTCTCCCCTTATCTGACATCAATTAATTTCCTCATTCCAAATGTAGCAGTGTAGAAAATCTTGCAAAATCATTTTTTCCTCAGGGCACAGGATATTTGATGCTTTTCTAGTTATGACGTCTTCCTCTGAGAGTCCTGTTTTGATTTCCCCCCTGAACAATAACCTGGCAAAATGTTTCCCAGTTTATTTATTTTTCCATGTGCCTTCAAGTCTACGGTTCTCTACTTGATGTCTTGGTAGATTTTGCTGACTTTACGTCACACCAGGCAGCAGTTTGTTTGAGGCATGCTGCCATTTTACTCAACTAACCAATCAGATGCCTACAAATACAAAAAACAATCAAACTAAGCTTTCACCATTTGTTTAAAGGCACCGTAATCTTAGCACATGTTACCTTTTTGTTTTGAGGAAAGTAAAACCTTTTTTTGTATTACTCTCATTATTCAGTGTTTAGAAAACAGAAATAAGATTGATTGAAATTGATCCACTGCACCACTGGGCAGCTCCTGTTTTTCCTCTACTGGATTGCAGATGTTTGCTTCATGTAATCTAGCTCAGTTCATCTAAAAGGAAAAACCTAGCCCAAGGCATCACATTCCAAGACTGTGAGAAAACGGTCTGGAGGACCTCCATCCCTGCTTGCTTCCTAAATAAATCTCAAAACAAAATTAAAATTACTTTTATACTGGATCTAAGATTTTAAGACTTTGTTAGATGGATATATTTTGCAGTGAAACGGGTAACAACACTGGTTCCTAAGGGGGGGGGGGGTGCCCCCTTTGGGAGCTCAGTATTGAAATGACCAACACTGAGAGGAAATTATATGAAGAAAAAATATGTATTTATGTCAATATTGAATTCTGTAATACTGCTTAAAATAATTACAGTTTAGTAGTTTTGTGATTTAAAAAGGATTGTATTTTTTTAGGATGGTTTACTGCAGTTGGCTTTTCTTTTTCCAATTGTCCAAACGTTTGGTCAGTGCGGAGACACAAAAAACTTGCTTCTAAATCATAAGAGGGCCTCCCAGAAAAGTTGAAGAACCATTGCTAATCCTTTTTTTAAATAAAAACTCTTTATCCTACAATAAAGGATGTGTTTAGACATATTAAAGAAATCTTGCTTGTATATTTCAAATTAGCCCTTATCTTAGTGTAGTTTTCCACCAAACCGCTCTAAAGACTATCGGCATTGTCGTATTTAATTAGAAGCAACGGGCCATGATGAGTCTGTTGGCAGTCCACAATGGAACACAATGAGAGAGGTTGCCTGACTGGAGCTGTTGTGCTTGACAACATGTTCATGCTGTAACATCAACATGCAGAAGATGTGCATTCATGCCTCTGCTCATGTCACTGCTTCGGCATTAAGGTCCAACAATATCCCATTCAGGCCTTCCTGTATAGAAGCATCTAAGTGGCTCACTAAGGAATAAGGGTTGTTAGCTGCATGTGCAGGATGCATAGAAAGCTGCATCTGTCAAACAACTGAACTCATCATCCATGTAAAGGAAGATTTATTGCTTTTCTGGATGTCAGCTTTACTCTCTCCTCACCTGTTGCCTCTCCTTTAAAAGGTTTCTGCATGTTTGCACACGATCTGTGCAAAACACTTTAACAAACGTCCTCCGCCTATAAACTGTCTCCTCAATCACTTTGACTTCCTGATGGCAGTTTTGTCATTTCTACTTTGCATTAATCATTGTCTTAAACAGAAGCATCCATCATGAACTTTATCAGTTTTGTCTTCATGCATCAATTCATTTTCTGTGGAGGAAATTAAACCACAGCTGCTCAAATCCTATCATCTGTCAGCTTTAGATGGTTGATTACCTGTATTGAAATGCCATCATAAAAGATATATTCTTTTTTCTTTTTAATAAAGAAATAAACCTTAAATAAATCTCAAAAGCACAAGTGTTGCTAAGGTGTTAGCATTTTGTACCATCCGGTGGAGGTTCAGGAACTGGTTCAGCAGCAGGTTCTGGATCTGAAGCGGCTTCAGATTTAGCGGTGATGGGGTTCACCACAGGAACCTCTGCTGTGACTCCGGTCTCTGGTGGAGCTTCAGGGGTCTGGGCTGGATTGGGGGCCGCTGTGACCTCTGCAGGACCCGGCACCTCTGCTAAGGAAGCAACCTGCGTTTCCTCCTCAGTGGCAGAATTATGCTCAGCTGGAGCAACTGCTGTAGTGGGAGTTAATGGAGTCATCTCTGGAATACTGGCTGCAGCGAGGGCTGTGTCTATCAGCGGCTCAGGTGTGTCTGCAGGCCCTGAGGGTTCAGCCAGTGCTGAAACTGGGGTTGGTGTTGAAGCTTCTTCTGTTCCTGTATCCTCTGAGGCAGTCTCTGCTGTGGTATTGCCATTTGGGGCTTCATCGTTTACAAGTTCTACACCTTCTGTCAGTATTTTGGATGATGCTTCAGCTTCAGCTTCTTCCACATCCTTAGGGGTCAAAGCTGGCTCCTCTACTGCTGCTTCTGCAACCTCCTCAGCTGAAACCAGAACCTCTGTCTGCACAGCTTCAACAGATTTAGCATCAGGGGTCTCCTCTGTGGCTTCAGGTGCTTTGACCTCAAGAGGGGCTTCTGCTGGAAGAGATTCTACAGGCAGCGTCTCCTCCTCTGTGTGTTCGACCTCAAATACTGGGGAAGCGACTTCTGGCTCAGCAGAATCTTCTACAGCTGCAGAGGATGCAGGCTGTGGGGCCAGCTCCTCACTAGATGCTGGTTCTGGTTGTGGGTCCGGAGCTTCTAAGAGATCTTCCCCAGAGCCAAGATCCTCCTGGGCCTCCATGGCCATTAAGACGGCCTCGGTTCCGTCTTCAGGTCCGGATATGAGATCATCTGGTAAGGGGGTCTGCGCAGGCAGCTGCATCTGATCCGCAATGGTTTGGACATCTTCTGTGATGATACCATTTTTGACTGCTGTAAACAAAACAAAAATGAAAAAAGGACAATCAATTTGAAAAGCAGCACACTTATGAAATATTGGTAAAACATATTATGTCTGTAGCACTAGGGTTAGGATCAACAGTTTGCTGATGTTTAGCAAAGAAAAATGAAGCAATCATAAGAAGAAAGCTGTTTTGCACACCGACACACACCTACATACACACCTTTCTTTTTTGCACAGATTGTCCATATTAATGCTTCTATCTCATGTTCTTTCTACTCCTCAGGGTTCCATTTCACGAAGCAGGTTTAGAAAACACGGATTCAAATCTGCATCTCTAAATAGATCTAGCCTAAAGTCAGGAACTCTGGGTTTTCATTTTCACAACGACTACTATGAATTAGTTCAATCTACCCTAAGTAGGTCCACTCAGAGTTTAACACCTTTGTGACAAGTATGAAAAGCCATGAGACGCCATGACAACAGGCAACCGGGAGTGTCTTTTTTATCCCACCAGAAATAGAGATTTTAATGCAGAAATGAAAAAAAAGGAGAAATTGTTTAAAAGACAGAGAAAAAAGCGCTAAAGCTGCAAAGGACAAGAAGTTGGCGAAGAAGAAATGCTGCTCGAGTTAAAGTGTTGGTTTGTATGAAGTCTCTTTATTCAGGCTGTTTTTACATTTATTAAAAGCACTCTCCTCTCTGTTGTTCCATTTGTAGATCACTAAAATAGGATTCTTTCTGATCAAATCACACTCCTACACTGAACTGTAATAATGTCTTTTCTAAATTACATTTTTGCAGCAGAAACTGAACTTCAGAGTGTAAAAAATAAATCAAATTAATACTAGTAAGAATTCAGTTTTATATATCTAGAAATGTTTACACATTATAAGTGGCCATTAACATTTATGAGCTTGACTAAAAAATGCTTTTATGATCAAAATAATATGAATGCTGACTCGAAACAAAAGGAGTATGGAGATCTAAAATTCATTTCTAGACATCCAGAATGTCTCATTCTAGATGTGAAGAATGTCATTTTGTTTGAAACAGTCATTTTTACAAGGGATTTTTTTTATATCAGGAATACATATTCAGTACAGTGAATACATTCCAAAATACTTGCAAAAGCCTATTGTGACCACGATAACATTACAGGTTTATTTCTTGAAATATAATGGATCAATGTATCTAATCAGGTGAAATCATCTGGCAGCAGGTGAAGATAAAATTTAAAAACATTGTTCTAATAGATAAAACCTGTGCATCATCTCATGGGGTTCCTCCTCAGTTTGATTCAGTCTTCTTTTACACAGTAAATACTAAGTGGCTGTTTGCAGCCAGCCGTGCTTCAGATGTTATCATCCACATAAATGGCTGTTATTAGCAGCTATCAGTCCCATAGAATGCCCTCAGATTGTACCAGTAGACTCGGTAGGTTGTTATCACTGAACCCTAACCCTAAAGTAATTCCTCTTCCCCTCGCAGAATTAATGAATCTATTTAAGTTCAATCTGAAAATAATTTCAGTAGTTCTTCATGTACCTAATACGAAAATAAACATATAAAAGTAAAATTTTGTGCATGTTGTTCCTATTAAACAAACCAAAAACAAATAGATCTCATATCCTGTCAACTGAGTTGTAGAATCCTCTCCCTATAAATATTTAATTATCGGGGAAGAAAATTCTGATCAGTCTTTCATAAGATCCTCATCAAACGGACATGCAATGCCTGCTTTTAAAAAAAAAAACAAAAAAAAAAAACGTTTGTCTAAGGACCTATAAATTATTTTATTTTTTTGTATTGTATGCACAAATTAGTGTTTGTTTCATAACGGCTGCTATCAATTAGTTCAATTAATTTTAGCTAGATCCCCTAAGAGGTAAGTGCTGGTGAAGATTCTCAGTCATCCAGGTCAAAGTCATTCCAACAAAAGTAAAAAAAAAACAACAATCCACTGCACTTTGTTTCCAAGTTTGAATAGGTTTTGCTTCCCATCCAGGAAGCTTTATCAATTCAAAATGTCAGAAATAGTGTTGAGTTCGAGGCTTTATAGAGTGAACCGAAAACAAAGCCTTGTTTTTGCTTAGAAAACATCCAAATTGAACCAGATGAACGGGTCCGCCCCTTAGAAATACGTAGGGTCATTTTAGTTCTTTGTTAGGTTCGGATACCCCATACCTGTCAATGTCTCTGAAATGGGGGTTGTTAAAGGGAATTGTTGGCCTGGCTGAAACAGGTGAGGTGTTCTGTTCCCCTATAAGGGTTGGGGGTTGTGATGATACCGGGGAGGAATCAACTCAATTTTTGAAAGCTGAAATCTAAGTTCACCCCCTCTGTTTACGGTTGGTCTTTCTCTCTTAACATAGATGGCTTCATTCAGGTCCTTCTTAATCCACATGTCTTCTTTGTCCAAAATGTGAACATTCTGGTCCTCAAAAGAATGTCCTTTGTCCATGTCCAAGGTGTAGATGCACTGCTGAGTCTTGTCCCGAGGAAGTCCTTCTTCTGTGTTGGGTCATGTTGGTGATGATTTAGATCATTATCTGGATGCAGGAATTTTTGAAGGATTCTTTAACATGAGATGCAGGAATAAATGCATGTGGTGTTCTTCTACAATATATATTTTTTTCAAATAAAACACTGTAATCAAAAGGTAACTATGTTTTTGGGTAAGCTATACTCAGAGAACTCATGATGCAGGAGATAATAAAAAATAAATGCTTGAAGTATCCTTTCATTTCCTTACTTGAAAATAGGATTTACTGAAACCCTGAGGCCGTCCACTCAGGAAATGATCTTTCCTGCTTTCTGATTCTCAGGTGAAATGTTTGCTGTCTTCAGAAAAGAAATCTCATTTCTACAGCCACAGCGCTTCTGTCTGTTTCACAGTGGACGCTGCTCTCAGACAAGATGAGCCAGAGTTGCTCAGTTAGCTGTACGGCTGGATGGTTCGGATGCTTCAGCTTTCTAATTTTATTTGTCTGTCAGAAGAACTAAGCAGAGATCAGAGTGATGGCTGGAAGGGAATGTGGGGCTTGGCAGGCGGTGTGAAAATGAGCCAGAGGGGAAAAAACACAAATAAAATCTAACATTTATTAGTCTTCACACCCATTTTCCTATCATTAATGGCTTTCATTAGTCCTTTAGAGGACTTTTGAAGATTTGATTTAAAAACAAGTTTTCCCATCAATACAGGAGCAGCAGTCCAGAGCTGAGATTGAAAAGTGGGAATGATGCTGTCTGAGTTGTGGTGGACACCTCTGCACCAGGCATCAGTGAACCGCGCGTCAACAGGAATTAGCAGCCAAAAACGACACGGATCTCTGTCAAAACAACGTCACGTCTGGCCTGGAACCGCAGGGAAATGTGGGAGAAGGGGACAGGACACAAACCAGGGGCCCAGACCGGGGATGGTACCAGCAGAGGCTTGGGTGTCACACAGTTGGTTTGTGAGACAGACGTTTCACTGTATGAATAAAAACCTCTCCTCATTCAGCCCTATTTAACGTAGCCTGGCAATGTTCTGGGTGATGTAAGAGTCTGGAGCACCAAAAGCTGTCTGACAGGGAAAAAAACAATCCAGTGATACATCATGGGGAACAGAACACTGAGGAGGTAAATATGGTCACATCTGTTCATTTTTCTAAATATTTGGTTGAACTTTCTGCAGAAATGCGGTTTCTTTTTTCCCCACATGCAGACTGTGGAAGTCTTTGCAACTGGTGTGCAATGGGACAGTGTGCCTGCAGCTGTGCCTGACATGGCACAACCATGTGGTACAGATTTGTCTGGAACAATGACTGGACAATAACAGGCTGTGTTAGGTCGGGATCTTAAGGACCTGTACATAGAGCATAAGGAAGACTAAACATGTCTATAGGAACAAACTTTCAGGTGTTTTGGTGCTACAAATTACTTTCATTTATTTCTCCCCCTTCATGTTGCAATTACAGAGAACTTTATGAAGACAGCTGGACTCTACATTTTAACTTGTCAGTTCATCATTTTAAGGACGGCAGACAAATAAATAACAATATTAAAAATAATTATCAAATCAAAATTGAAAAAAGTGTGCTCTGCAGTTGTATCAAGCAACCTTTAGTCTTCATACCCCTAAAAAGTCAATTGCAATGAATTGTTTAGTCTGTTTGTTCCAGTCCAACTTTCCTTTCATTTTCATTAATCATTCTATCTTTTTTATTTTTGTATTAATGATTTTATCTACTCTTTATATATGTGTCTTATTTTAATGTGTCACGTTTATTATCTATTTGTGTTGCCTACTTTTCTTTTTCTTATGTGCAGCACATTGTCCTGCTACTGAAATTCTATAGAGATAAACTTGTCCTGCCGCTGTAGAAAGGGAACCAGCTGTTCTGTAAATGTCTCAGAGGTTTGCTGGAGAACAAACGCACATGAAGAACAAAGAGCACAGCAGACAGGCTGGAGATAGAGGTTTGAAACAGATCAGGTTCTAAGACGACATCAAGGTTGAACTTAGCTTTGTTCCATTCTTTTATGCTGGGAAAGAATGCACTAAAAAACCTAGAATGCAGCAATAGAGCTGATTCCTTCCTGCTATCATAATCCTCATGGCCATGCAGGGGACCAAGACTACTCAGCCAGGCCAACAATGACCCTATGACTCCCCACTTTCAGAGATATAGACCAGTATCGGGTAATGCAGGCTAACAAAGACCTCAACGACTCCCTATCCCTAAGGGGTGGGCCTGTTCTTCCGGTTCAATTTGCATGTTTTCTAAGCCAAAACAAGGCTTTGTTTGGGCCGCTCTATAAAGCCTGGAACTCAACGTTAATTCTGACATTTTTAATTGAAAAAGCTTCCTGGATGGGAAGCGAAACGTCTTCAAACTTGGAAAACAAAGTCCAGTGGATTGTTTTTTTTTTTACTTTATTGGAATTCCATTCTTTATCTGAAAATGGAAAGATTGTGACACAAATGCAAACTCTATAAAGATCAAAGTTCAGTTCAATTCAATTCAATTCAGTTTATTTATATAGC